CTCTCCCTCTATGCCCCTCCTCCCTCCTCCTCTCCCTCTATGCCCCTCCTCCCTCCTCCTCTCCCTCTATGCCCCTCCTCCCTCCTCCTCTCCCTTCATGCCCCTCCTCCCTCCTCCTCTTCCATTGATGCAAGGTTGGCTGAGTCATGTTCAGCTGGTACTTACTACTTAGTACTTACCCTTTCCCATTAACAACCTGCGCCGAAGCACGCTTAGCCGGCCAGCAATGGCTGTCCTTAAGTTCACTCTTCGTGGAACCTCACTGTATCGCCGCTTAAGTGCATTAAACATGGATCCGAAGAAAACTGCGATTGCAGTGCAAGTCAGTGTGATGACATTGTATGGCATGCTGAAATCTGGTATAGCAAGCGGCACCAACAGACTCTCGGTGTAAATGTGCACTGCCGATTCAGCCTGCAGGAGGGCAAGATAACACACAAATCAAACACGCGAATCAAAGGTTGTAAAATGGCCGTGTGAGGCTGCACCGTACCTCCACCATTGGTTGCTTTCACTGCAAACGAGGGAGAAGGCGGTGCAATCTGCTGAAAGGGAGAAGGTGGTGCATCTGCAGCGAGGAGGAAGGTGGTGCACCTGCTGAGATGGAGAAGGTGGTGGATATGTTGAGAGGGAGAAAGTGTTGCATCTGCTAAGATGGAGACGAAGTACAAAGAGCAGTCTGTTCTGAGAGCAGGAACCGCAATCATGAGTACCAGAAGACTTCAAGACTATAGGACAAGAGCGACTTTGCATCTGACTGATGACCCAATGGTACAGACACGTAACTGTTGATCGACAGATCGTGGGTTGGAATCCTGATCGATGGGATAAATATTCGATGCTCCAAGAGGGCCCCCCACCCTCGTAACAAAAGAAGGAACCAGTGCTTCGCCAAGTTCCCCACCTGGAATGAGCAGACGACATTGCAGCAGATCTGTTCCTTAAGCCAACTGTTCAGGGCTTACTGGCCTCTGAGACTCAGTGCAAGGCCAGTTTCAGATGGGCCCAATGGGCCCAAACCTGACCGGTACCTTGGGTTGGGAAGGACTACACCCTGGTTCAGCTTATCGGTTTGGTCACATTCACAGACATTGCAAGCAATTGGCTTCTTCAACGGATTGCCGCCGCTTTTTTTAATTTCCAACTATACTTTTAGCAAATGTTTCCACTTTCAAAAGAGCAAAACCCATGGAAGAATATTCTATGTTACAGCCTGCAACTAAAACTCAGCTTTCGCTTCTGGTCGATCAAAAGGAGCAGGATTAGTTCAAAACTGTTCGGGCCTCCGAGACTCAGTAGTGCCAGGCCAGTGTCAGATGGGCCCAGAGATGTCAACCAGTTGTAAAAAAAAAAAAAAAAAAAAAAAGGAAGGATGGGCCCAGAGATGTCAACCAGTTTAAAAAAAAAAAAAAAAAAAAAAACATGGGCCCAGCTAGGCTGAACTCCGGGCCGCCCGGCACCCGGCTCGTCGCCCGGGCGGGGGGCCGGGCCGCCTGGCCGGTCGTCCCCCCCGGTTGGCCACCGGGCGACCGCAGCGCATCGTCAAG